CTGGTTATAGAAGCTCTTAAAATTTCACTTACCTGGTTTTCATCAAGCTTTTCATAAAATAAAGAAATAAAAATATTTTCATTCATTATTATCGTTACCCTTCCCGATGACTTTACATTATTATTTAATTTAATAACCGTCGCTGAACAACCGACCCAATTTTTAGGTTTACGACTACTACTGTTCAACTTCGTAGCCCTGTGATTTTGAACCTAATTCAGAAGACAAGAACTCCTGGATCAAGTATTGGGAGAAATTTGCCTTCTTGGAGGACTTCACAATGGAAATAATCCACATTTGCGTTACATGGAGAGGAAAACCACACAAAAATTCCCATGGTTAGCCTGGCTGCAAGGGAACTCTAACCCACGATCCTACTATCACTGAGGATACTTTAAGTCAGCAGTGTAGTTGGTGCGAGCCGGATGCGGAGTTCGTATCGATCAGCCATTGCTGGGATTCGAACCCGGTTCACCTCATATGAAAGCGAACGCTCTATTCCTTGAGCCATCACGGCTCTACATTATATATTTTATTTTATAACCGTCGTTGAACAGCCAACCCGATTTTGGGTTTACGACCATCAATGTTCAACTCCGTCAACTTGCAATTTTGAACCTATCTAGAAGACAAGGAAACTGCTGGATCAGTACCCCCAGAGGTACGATTTGGTATGGGAACCTAGAGGACTTAGTGACTCGACAGATTTAACGCAAACCAGTCACCACTTACTACACGGGGAGTCTTCGGCCGACGGTGATAGATCCCTCGCCGTCTTGGACATGGGCCCAGTGCCCATCAACCAGGCTGTCCGGATTCTATAAAAAAACTCGTTTGTTTTTGTTCATCACATCAGAAAAAAGATTTACTGTATATATCATCGCCTGGCGTGATGATATTGTTCTCGGACGACGTATGATAGTCAAAATGTACCACTATCAAGTGATTTTTGCTGGTATATGTCCCTTTCTAGGGGCCATAAGACGCGCATTCCCACAGCATCAGTATTAAAAATGCTAAGTATTGATGCAGTTTTAATTATCAACAACTATATCAATACCAAACTTTATATTAGTATACTTATTGCATAACCCTTCGACTTTTGAGTTTTGAAATACATTTATTTATCAATGACAACAAACCAAAGCCGGAATTCTAAAAACAAATAGAATTCTCATAAGACATTGATAAGAACTTTCGGGGTTCTTCTTACTTTTTCTGTGCCCCTTTTAACTTCAAAAATTCTAAAAAATTAAATTAAGAAAAAAAGCAAAGTTGATAAAGATTCACCAAACACAACTAAACCTTAAATAAATTACAAACTGAATAAATGGAAATAGTTTGTGAGGGAATAGAGTTGCACCATTTTACTTGCATAGTCTCACTATAATTTCTGTATTTCATTATTATTATTATTACGGTTATATTTACTTCATTTTAAATACTTCAATAATCAATTCTTAAAAGATTAAATTGAAGAAGCAAAGAGAAAAAACTTAATGCATTCGGAATTAAAATTCATTTTCTTTCCACCATTATTTCTCTCCATCGTTAGATTGTAATAATTCAATTACTAAATATGCATAATCTCTTAAAGAAAGAAACTAAAATAATAGCGTAGAAAATGGATACTAAGTTTTTATTCTTTCTTCAACCTTCCTTAGTATTTTATGCAAATAGAGGTGTTAGCCTATTTTAAAACTAATTTGTTTCCATTACTTGTTTATAAAGAAAGAAAAAGGAATAACACCGACGCTTTATGTTTGATTTTTTTAAAAACAATTTCACCATTGTTAAAGGTACAATACATTTTTTTTGTATTAATTCTTGATGAATTCATTAGAATTATACATTATCAGGCCTACTGTTTATTTAAGGTTTACTTTTGTATTTTGCGAGTCTTTTATCGACTGTGTTTCCAACGTTGTGTTTCCTTTTTTTTTTACATTGGTGCTTTCGAAGTAAACAGTTTATGTCAGATTCTGCAATTAAGAATTCTTTAGAATGTGAAAATTATTTAAAAAAATTTTTTTTTTAAGTGCAGCAAATGCTTTCCAGTAATTTTAAAACTGATTCCGTTGATTAAAAACATGTTGAGTCGCGATTTGAATAAATGTTCAATCATGATCTTTTGTAAATACTTTTAAGGAATATTTTCCAATTTAATTTTCAATCGAGGCAACAAATAAAACATTTTTATTAAAAAAAATTACCTTCAAAACTATATCATCAATGAATTCAAAATTCTAAGCGATAGTATTTAAAAGATAACTTTTTGGTAGGCTTAAGAACAGATAATAATAGCAATTAAATAATAATGCAATAGTAAATTGAAATGCATCAAAAATTACTCAACTAATTGTTCTTGTTGAAAGAAACAAACAAAACAGCTTTTCTATTAATAGATTTGGTATAAAGTAAATAAAAATTTTGATGAATTTTTCAATAATGATCTTTTGATTGATGAAGATTGGCAATGTCGATAACTACTCTCCCCCAATTGGTGACCGCAGGACTTGATTACTTTAACATTGCGAAAATTTTATTTAGATGAAAAAAAGGTTTGTGCATTCAAATATCACCACTATTTTCTGACTTACCTTCGATATTAAACATGGAGGAAAGCACAAATGTTAATTTAAATTCATCAACTCAAGATGATGTGAATTTAGAAGTAAACAAAATGGCAGTAAAACCACCAATTTTTTGGCGACATAAAAGTAAATTATGGTTTTTACAACTCGAAGCACAGTTTGCTAACGGCAATATTACTCGTGATTTATCTAAGTTATAACATTGTCTTTGCCTCATTAGTCGAAAATGTCTTAGATTTTGTAGGGAATGAATGGAAAATACGACGCTTTAAAAAATACATTGTTAAGTAGATTAATAGAAGCCAGGTTAAAAAAGGGTATTGACTGCATTTAATCTTGGCGATAAGCATCCATCTGACATGTTACAACAAATGAATGGTCTGGTAGAAACTTCCATTTCTGAGGAATTGTTTAAATCACATTCGCTACCGAGGTTCACACAACAGGCTATATAACCTATCAGTTCTCATTCTTTGGATAAAATTGCAGAGATGGCAATTATTGGTATATTTAGCTCAACAGAGTTATGAACAGTGAACAAAGTATACGGTAAAACTCTTGAACATAACAACACTAATAACAAAAAAATTAATTCCTTGAAGATTAGTATAGCAGAATTAACTAGGAAATTTGATACATTCATACAAGGGGTAAGTCTCAAAGTAAATCTGCAAGTGCTCGAGATCGTAGCCGTTTGAGATCCCAATCTTTTTGTTATAAACTAGGTTGGTACCATTATAAATTTGGAAACAAGGCACATCACTGTGTTAAGCCTTGCGAATTTCAAAAATTTACAAATACTTCGGGAAACTAATTGGCCTCGGTCGATTGAAGATGCTAACGACTACGGCCAACTAAACTGCCGCCTCTTTCTTTTTGACAAGTCAAGAAAAAGTCAATAACTTATTAACACCGGGGGCTGACGCGACTGTAATTCCACCACCAAAACAAAATAAACGTTTCCATCTGATTTTAAACTTAATGCTGCAAATTAAAGTTCTATCAAAACCTAATTGGTGACCTAAGGACGTAAGATGATCACGCCGACTTCGATGTATGGTCCACATTGAACAATTGATTTGCTATTTGCAATTGCGTCATCGTCCTCCTCGCACTGTTGCTTCTCAGTCTCATTTGCACACAACGGGATTCTGCACACACTCGACTGCTAATAGCAACGCAGGAGAGACAACGCACACAACCATGAACATAACACAGCTCTCACCACGAGTGCTCAAAATCCGGTGAACTTAATACAGCTCTCCCAGTCTTCCCCAAATACGGCAACTAGTGGTATCCGTTCATTGAATTCTTATCGCTCATCGAGTATAGTGGCGTAACTACCACTATGATTATTAAACATCAATTCACTAGTATATAAGACATGTTAACTCTATTCAATCTAGGGGTACCTTTTGATTGATGAAGGTTGGTATTGTCGATAACTACTCTCCTCACAAGTCAACAACCAACAATTTCGGTCATTCACACACCCATTACATTAGTAGTCGTAACATTAATAGTAGTCGTAGGAACATCAGTAGTCGTAAACCCAAAAATTTGGGTCGGGTGTTCAACGACGGTTATAAAAATAATATCAAAATCGTGAGCCGTGATGGCTCAGGGGATAGAGCGTTTGCCTTCCAATGAGGTGAACCGGATTCGAATCCCAGCAATGGCTGGTCGATACGAATTCTGCATCCGACTCGGGCCGACCACAGTGCTTGACGTAAAATATCCTCAGTGGTAGACGGATCATGGATTAGAGTCCGCTTTCCGTTAGGCTAACCGTGAGAGATTTTCCTCTTCATGTGACGCAAATGCAAGTTAGTTACATTAAAATATTCTCTACTAAGGCAAATTTCTCTCAATACTTGATTCGGGAGTTTCCTTGTCTTTTGGATTGGGTTCAAAACTACAAGACTACAGAATTGAACATTAGTAGTCGTAAATATAGAAAAAATTGGGTGGTTGTTCAACGACGGTTATAAAAAAAGAAAAATATCAAAATCGCGTGTAAATTTTATTTTTATTTAAAATTTGGTCTGCCTTTTAAAAAATATCTTTAAACAAAAATAAAATTTGCACGCAATGTTCTTCTTTTATAGTTGCATGCTTTTCTCTCTTCATTATTTTCTTTGCTTTCGCCAGCCTGGCTAGATTTTATTCTTAAAAGTCCAGACACACACAAACTTGGTAATTTTGAAATTGTCTTTCTGAGAACTTATTAAGCACCCTGTATATTTTAAAAGTTGTTCATGTTTCAAACATATGCATTAACTGAAATAAACGTGTCATCCGGTTGGAAGAATAAGTATATAAGTTCACCGGAAGTAGGGAGAAAGGAAGAAGAAACAAAGAAGTTCTTCAAGAGTACAATCCTTGCAAGGTAGAGGAAGTTCTTACTCAGACTGATCCGGCAAGCTATCAGGTATCGATCAAGGGCCAGAAGAGCAAGCGTTCCTATGTGTGCTGAACCAAACAGGAAGCCCATGAATGCGTACCACTGGCAACCACCTTCTCCAAACAACCACCTGCAAGTAAGACACATTCTGTTAGATACCACAAATAATTTATATAGCTTTATTGGGTCCTTCATTTAATTTTTACACATGAACGATATGAAAAACGAGAATTGTTATAGAACTAACCAGTGGTCAACAAACTTATGAACTATTGTTTGTCTACGGTAAGAATTCCCCCCGCCACAAAGTCTGAGGCCGTCTGCTGCTATGGAAACAAGAATAACTTATTTCATGGAGGGTAGCTTCTCTTCACTCAAAGACTAAGACTGAGGAAAAAGATTACCTTTCTCTCGCCGATCCGAGCCAAAACCTGTCTTAAGCAATGACCCAATACCCTTACTTTAAATAGTTATACCTCGTTACCATAGTCACCGCCACGGGTACAGACGAATGGCTAGAGAAGATCTTACTTTTAATAAACTATACAGTATCTTTTTTTTTAAAAAAAATCCTACTGCCTTGCTACCAACGAAAAGAACTATGGAAAGAACTACCCTAACCATTCGTCCGGTACTGTGGTCACGATGTTTAACTATTTCAAGTAGGGGTGTTAGGTCAATAATTAACACAGAGTTTGAGTCAGGTTAACGAGAGAGAAAAAAAATCAGGGGAAAGATAAACTCCCCTCTTTGAATTTTTTGTTTCCATGGCAGCAGACGGCCTTAGACTTTGTGGAGAGGGAAGATCTTTCTATAGGGAGAGTTGACCATCTAAAGCTAAGCGCAGATGACGCTGGGGTTAAAATTCGCCGTAAGACTTCCGGGTTACGACTTCCGGCCGATTTTTACACCTGAGCTTGAAAAAATACGCCATCCAATATTATTATACGTGTAGTGTTTTCAATATAACGTGTTCCTTCAATATAACTTTCAACGAAATAAACAACAAATGAATTCGGGTGACTCCGCAAGCTTGCTAATGATGTTGCCCAAAAAATAACAAACGGTGCTATTTAACACAAATATAGCCAATTAAGGGATAACACTCAAAACACTTTATTTAGGCTGTGATATTAATTTTCTTAAACTTGTTTTAGGCTCATGACGTGTTAGAATTTATAAGTTCCAGAAAACTCTTATGAATGGTAAGACTATGTCGAAATTTAAACACACATCGCAATAATAATACTTCCTAGAATATTAAGCACACATCGCACCTCCTAAGCATAACATAAGCGGAGGGATACACCGGAAGTTTTAGGAAGCTTGTTATTGTTTACATTCAGTTAAACCATCCATACAAAATATACGAACGTTATGTTATACAGACTATACAAATGTTAAATGGATGTAATTATTATCTGAACCATGAGCTGTAAAAATAATTCATTTCTAATAAAAGTAAATATTGCAATTATATCTTCTTTATTTGATAGAGAAAATCGGAGCACAACACTGTAGACCAGGGATTGCCAAACTTTTTTGATCATCGACCCCTACATAATTTTTCGAAATCTCCATCGACCCCCATAAAAGAAATTTTTTGTTAATTAAAATAAAACTTTATTAGATACTGTGTTTGTACATTTATTTTATGATTTTGAACATTTATTAAAGTAATAGTACATAGTGTAACAATAGTTTTATGAAAAATATATTAATGTTGAAATATAAATACCTTAATATTTATGAAATAATAAGTAATTATAAGTAAGTAGAAATAATAAGTAAAGTAACTACGGATTTATTGCTTCTTAATCAATGACATGGGTGTGCCTGGTGTTTTTTTTTCTTCAAGGTTCGTTATATTGGGTTCAAAATTGGTCAATTTTAATCTTAAATCCCCTCGAAACTCCACATTTAATTTATTTCTGTTCTTAGTTAAGATTGAATTTACGTGACTGAAACCGGCTTCAACCATATAGGAACTTGGAAATGCTATCATAAATGGCTGAGCTATTTCGTAAAGTCTTACATATTTTTGCATTATATTTATATTTGTCCAAAATTTGCTTATTGTTAAATTTTTAAAAAGCGTCTTTGCTTCAAATCCCCATAATAATTCAGCAAGCTCATCTTGCAGGTTGATGTCCACGTTTTCAATTTGAGCAGAAAATGGCACAATAATCCAATCAGGGATGTCAATGTTTTCCAAATCAACAAAACGCAGTTTAAAATCGTCGCTCAATTTTTGAAGATTACCTGTATATATTTCCAAGTCTTCTTCTTTTATTTCTAATTGTCACATATCTGAAAAATACTGATAATCCTTCGACCAATCGACCCTTCCGGTTCGGATCGACCCCCATTCGACCCCCTGGCTCAGATCGACCCCCGCTTATGTTAAATAGACCCCTGGGGGTCTATATAGACCACTTTGGCGACCTCTGCTGTAGACTGTAGACTACTTGGGTTTCCTGGTAGCAAATCAACGATTTGAGGGCAATATTAGGTTTTAAAAAAAAGGAAGATACTTTCATAATAAGTCATATATTTTCAGAGGAAATAACGAAAGCACTTTATAACAATGCAGGTTTCTTAAATAAGCAAACATTCAACTTAGATAAGAAAAAAAATGGATAAATTAAAGTATCACTTTACGTATGATACTATAAGCAAATTAAATATTTGTATTTTCTTAATCTTAAAGCTTGACGCGAGTCACTTATTCGAGGAGCTTAAAGGAAGAACTGGTTGAGTGACATTTTTAAAAAATTCGTGATTTCTAGATCTTTATTTTAATTTATTAGTCTTATTTAAACATATAACAACATTTATATTGTTAAATCTATTAATTCCGGAGATACACATGGGAAGAACCGGCTAAGTGACATTATTTAAGTATCCTTTGGATGGAAGAATAGAAAAAATTTAAACTCTAAACAATTTTACTAAATTTTTTTACTTTTTTTAAGTTTTTTCTTTAACAAAGGGATATTACAAATATGTGTAGTACAAAAGTTAAATTTAAAAAAATTTAATACGTAAATCTAATTTGTTAATATTAAAATGTAGTAAAATTAATTTTTTTAGAGAAAGTTGAAAGCTTACAGTAATTTACAGAAGATGAAGTACGCGGAACTTTAAATGCTTTATCATTTCAAAAATAATATGTATATATTTTGTCTTTTTATTCAGACAAATTGATATTGTTTTCACTTTACAAAAAATATTAAATAATAAATTGATACAAATATTGAATTTATTAAAACCCGAAAATAAAGCAAAAAACAAAATTTTGGATCAACTTCCAAAAAAGACTGTGTATTTTTTTTAACTTTCGCGCTGATTTATAAAAATGCTAATGGGTCTCAATCACATCGTATTTCAAGCATGGAAATCTTTGTACAAAAGCTAAAGATTAGAACACAAAATGACACACAAAACATGAGGCAAATGACACACACACACAAAAAATTTCCTCTGAAATTTCGACTCTTATATGAAGACGTGAGAGAAAAGCGGAAATTTTTAAACTCTAATTAAGTTTTGAAGCATTTCAACTTAAGGATTCATTACCTTCTGAAGTGTTTCGCTAAAGTGGGCACTTTCGATAAAAGGAGGAACTTAAATTTCGTGAAAGAGGAAGCTAAACGAATAATAAAAATTTAAGAGATATTAAAAAAGTTGTGCATCCTGTTGTTCCATAACTTCGGATACAATTAAACGCATACTCTTATAATATGGAATTTATCAAAAGAATTCTATTTTTAAAGATGAAAACAAGAGATACTGTCATTTTTCAATCAGGAAAATATTTCAACATTGGTTTAAAAATAAAAATAATTAATGTGCTTAGGAGAAAGTAATAAGACATTTTTTTTTAAAACAAAAGGAGCAATTTTTCATCCAACTGATCCTTTGTTTTGTTTCCAAACGAGTACAAGTTTATGGAATTTTCCAGTCTATTCAGTATAAGATATTTTATTGTTTACCTTTAAACATAATAGCAAAGTCATTTTAATGTACTGAAAGATCGCTGTTTTATATTCTCGTAACTATTTGTTTTAAAAATGTAGCATGCTTAGGTTAATGTTTCAGTGCTTTCTAATGTTCCTTTTTTGTTTTGTTCTTTTGTTTTCATACACAGTTAAAATTTCTAATTTTAAGTATAGAAAACATAAACAAATAAATATATCTCCTTTTCTGCAAATCAACATAAAAAAAAATTTAAAAAAACATTTTAAAAAATGTTAAAATAACGGCCATAACTGGAAAAGGTTCGATTATAAAAAAAATTATTCATTTTAAGTGATTACTCAAGTGATTACGTAAAAAAAAATTATTACTCAAATGAGATATTCAAATTTGGCGTTCATAATAATATCGGAAGTTTAAACACAATGATAAAATTAATTGCATTAACTGAAATCGAAAAAAAAGATCGAAACACGGATTTACAATGGCATCGAGAGCGTTAAAAGGTGATTATTGAAATGCGCTATACGAAATTTCTATATCTTATTATATTATATTGAAAATTTATTCGATCTAATCGTAGCCAAATAGAAAAAGGGGCCAAATTATATAATTGATTAAATAATTCTACTATTACAAATCGGAATTTATTGCAAAATTGCTACTCATTAAAATGTAAGTTCAAAAAACAATTAAAAAAACACCAGTTTTCCTAACGAACGATCTTTTAAATGTTTGCTATTTCAGAATTATTTTTTTTTAGATTATCAGTTTTATACTTCTGTGTTTGCCTCAATAGTTCACTACTTCTATCTGAAGTTATGAAATTGTTTTTTCAGTTTCCTGTTCTCGAAGTTTATCCGAAGTTGTATTTTTTTCCTGCGTAAAAAAGTCGTTATCGCTAGTTAATGAAAACTTAGGAAGGAAAAGAAATAAAGGGTGCTGACGGATTATGGGTTAGAGTCCCCTTGCCGGCAGACTAACCGTGGGAGGTTTTCGTGGTTTTCCCCTTCACGCAACGCAAATGCGGGTTCATTCCACGAAAAGTTCTCCTAATACTTGATTCAGGAGTTCCCTTGTCTTCTGGATTGGGTTCAAAATGACAAAACTACGGAGTTGAGCAGTAGTAGTTGTAAACCCAAAAAATTGGGT